CTTTATTCACAGCAGCCTTTTATTGGATGATGTACAACCAAAATGCTCCCTAGAATTCAATATTGTGAGACTCTGTCTCTCATACTTCAGACATGTTATCAGGAGAAACCAGTCCCTGGAGAAAGACATCATGAGTGTCCTTCTCCAGGGGACTGGTCCCTCCTGATAGCATGCATATGAGGCTACTGAAAATATCATGACTTGGGTCAGGCGCACCTTACTCACTTACTTACTTGAGAATCTACTATGTGCTAAGTAGGTGGCATCCAGTTGGTTCCAATTCATAGCGATCCCAGGTACAACAGAGCAAAACATCCTTACAATCAATGCCAGGTTTGAGCCCATTGCTATTGTCACGTGTCATGGAGGGTCTTTCTTCCTCTTTTTTTACTGTCCCTCTACTTTACCAAGCATGATGTTCTTCTCTGGGGACATAGGCACAGGGAATAATAGTGTTGATTAAGGCCCCTGCTCTCACAGAACATATTGTTTAAAGGGTGTCTTGATTTGATGCCAGCTGTTCCTTGGGAGACAAATGTAGACTGTCAAAACTTAAACCCACTGCCATGGAGTTAGCTCTGACATATAGTGACCCTACATAGGCTTACTGAGACTGTGAATCTTTGCAGGGAGAGGACAACCTTTATTTGCCTCCTGCAGAGTGGCTGGTGGGTTTAAACCGCTGACCTTGCAGCTAGCAGCCCAGTGCCCAAGATGCTGTACTCTCTCCTAAAGATGACAGCCTTTGAAACCCTCTGAGGCAGTTCTGCTGTGTCCTGTAGGGTCACCATGAATTGGAATGGGGTCAGTGGCAGTGGGTTTGGCTTTGGTATGGAGAACGCACTCACTCTCTGTCTCCCCATTGTTCTGGCTGGCTGTTGTTGTTAGGTGTTGTTGAATTCATAGCTACCAATTCATAGCTATCCTATGCACAACAGAATGCAACATTCAATCTGAGCAAATAATCCAAGAAGCTGGATTACATGAAGAAGAGCTGCCATCTTCACAATCATTGTTATGCTTGAGCCCCCTTGCTGCAACCACTATGGTACTTCATCTCATTGGGGGGTCTTCCTTTTTTTAAACTGACCCTCCACTTTACCAAGCCTGATGTTCTTCTCCAGGGACTGGTCCCTCCTGATAACATGTCTGAAGTATGAGAGACAAAGTCTCACATATCTTGACTTTTAAGGAGCATTCTGGCTGTACTTCTTCCAACATAGATTTCTTTGTTCTTCTGGCAGTCCATGGTACTTTCTATAGTCTTCTCCAGCACCATAACTCAGATGCAGTAATTCTTCTAGGGTCTTCCTTATTCTATTGTCCAACTTTCACATGCATATGAGGCCACTGAAAATATCATGACTTGGGTCAGGCACACCTTGCTCCTCAAACTGACATCTTTGCTCTTGAACACTTTAAGGAGCTCTTGTATAGCAGATTTGCCTCATGCAATCTGTTGTTTGATTTCTTGACTGCTGTTTCCATGAGTATTGGTGGTGAATCCAAGAAAAATGAACTCTTTGACAACTTCAGACTTCTCTCCCTTTATTGTGTTATTTATTGGTCCAGTGGTGAGAATTTTTGTTTTCTTTGCATTGAGATGCAACCCATATTGAAGGCTATGGTCTTTGATCTTTATCAGTACGTATTTTAAGTCCTCCTCCCTTTCAGCAAACAAAGTTGTATCGTCTGCGTATCACAGGTTGTTTATGAGTCTTCCTCCAATTCTGATGCCACATTCTTCTTCATATAGTCCAGCTTCTTGAATTATTTGCTCACATACAGACTGAATAAGTGCAACCCTGATACATACCTTTCCTGATTTTAAACTACTGATTGTCCCCTTGTTCTGTTCAAACAACTGCCTCTTGGTTTAAGTACAGGTTCCTTATGAGCACAATCAATTGTTCTGAAATACCCATTCTTCGCAATGTTATCTGTACCTTGTCATGGTCCACGCGCTTCAAAGTCACTGGATAGTCTGCTTTCAGCCAAGATCCGTTTTACATCAGCAATGATATCCCTCATTCCACATCCTTATCTGAATCTGGCTTGAACCTCTGGCAGTTTCCTGTCAATGTACTGTTGCAGCTGTTTTTGATTTCTCTTTAGCAAAATTTTACTCGCATGTGCTATTAATGATATTTTCAGGTGATTTCCACATTCCGTTGGGCCACCTGTCTTTGGAATGGGTACAAATATGGATCTCTTCCAATTGGTTAGCCAGGTAGTCGCCTTTAAAATTTCTTGGCATAGATGAGCAAGTACCTGACAAATATGTGTTGTAAATCCTAACCCTTACATGCACTCAGCTGCTAACCAAAGCAAAGGTGTTTTGCTATAACAGAAACACCACAAACAGCAGTGTGCTCTCTCCCGGTGAGGAGGCTACAAGTTGAATTCAGGGCTCCAGCTCCAGGGGAAGGCGCTCTCTCTGTCAGCCCTGGGAGACGGTCCTTGTCTCGTCTCAGCTTCTGTTTCTTGAGTTCCTTGACGATCTTCATGTGGTCTGGCATCTGTCTTCCCCTTCCTGTGCTTCCTGGTTTCTGTGCATAATCTGCTCCTTTTCTATCTCAGAAGCAATTGGTTTATGGCCCATCTTACACTGATGTGACCTCGCTAATGTAGCAAAGAAATCCTCATTTCCAAATGGGATGACATGTACCAGTATTGAAAAAAAAAACCACAACAGCCCTCTGCCATGGGGTGAATTCCTACCCATAGTGACCCATAGGGGCTCCAAGGCTGCAAATCTTTACAGACAGCCACATTCTCCTGTGGAGCAGCTGGTGGCTTTGAACCACTGACCTTTTGGTTAGCATCTGCATTTGTAAGCACTGTGCCACCAGGGCGTTTTAGCCACAGATATGTTGTGATTGTTAGATGTCACTGAGTCAGATCTAACTCATAGTGACTTTATACACAACACAACAGAACACCGCCTGGTCCCGCACCATCCTCACCATTGTTCTATTCGAGCCCATAATTGCTGTTATTGACAATGTTTTCATCTCCCAACACTACATCTGATGATGTTCTGCTATTCACTGGTGAGACCTTCAGAAGTAGTCGGCCTCTTCTTCCTAGTCTGCCTTAGTCTAGAATCTCTTCTGAAACCTGTCCACCCTGGGTGACCCTGCTGGGATTTAAAATACCAGTGGTATAGCTTCCAACATCACAGCAACATACAAGCCACCACAGTATGACAACCTGACAGATGAGTGTCTAACCCACAGATATTGTTGTTGTGTTAAGTGCTTTTGAGTCGGTTCTGACTCAGAAACCCTGTGTAGGAACACTGCTGACCTTGCAGTTCAAACTCACACTTGCAGTCGAGTCCTGATCCTATAGGATTCTAACCCACAAATACAGGGGTTATGGTTTCATAGCTCATATTTGCGGGGGGTGGGGGGGTGGGCAACCATTCAGTCCACAACTATGGGGAAGACAGATCTTGTGAAAAAAAACATCAGCAGGTGAAAAATGTCTGTGATGGAAATAGCAAAGGGGGCATGTGATAAGGAATGTGTAAGGGGCGAGTCGGAGTCCGGGTGTGGCGCTATAGGATAAGCACTGTACTGCTAACCTTAAGGTCGATGGTTCAAAGCCACCAGCTGCTCCTTGGAAACCCCAGATAGGGTCACTATAAGTCGGAACCGACTCTGCGGCACTTAACAAGAGCAACAACGGGGCAAGGTTAGATAGGGTGGTTAGGAAAGGCTTTTCTGAGTAGGTGAAGTCTGGAAGAGAAAAATGGATTAAAGAGGAGCCTAACATCAGCAGTTCAAACCCATCACCCACTTTGCGAGAACAAGATGAGGCTTTCTGCTCTTGTAAAGATTTGTCATTGCGGTTATTAAGTGTTGTCAAGTCAGTTCCGACTCATAGTGACCCTGTATAGGGTTTTTGAGGAGTGGCTGGCTGCAGTAAGCAGTCCGATAACATCACACTAGGGCTTCATTAAGATTTATAGCCTCAGAAACCCTATACAGGATGGCCCTGAATTGGCATCAACTTGATGGCAATGCACTGGGATTAAGGGGGTTGGGAGGAATCCTGGTGGCTCTGTGACTTTGGCATTGGTCTGCTAACTGAAAGGTTGGTGGTTCAAACCCACCATCTGCTCCATGGAAGAAAGATGTGACCGCCTGCTGCTGTAAAGATTGCATTTTGGAAACCCTGTACAGGATCACTGTACGTCCGAATCAACCCAGCGGCAGTGGGCTTGGTTTTGGTTTGAAGGGGGTTGGGAGGATCTCATGTCACACAGTGGGTTAAGTGTTTGGCTGCTAACTGAAAAGTTGGCTGTTTGAATCCACCAGCCACTCCATGGAAGAAAGATGAGGGGCTTCTGGAAAGATTTACAACCTTGGAAACTCGGGGGGGCGGGGCGGTTCTCCCCTGTGCTATGGATTGTCATGAGAATCAACTGGAAGGCAGTAGGCTTATTTTGTTTTGTTATGGGAGTCCTGGTGGAACTCTGGTTAAGTGCTTAGCTGCTAACTGGAAGGTCAGCAGTTCAAACCCACCAGCTGCTCTGTGGGAGAAAGATGTAGCTGTCTGCTTCTATAAATAGCTATATCTTTGGAAACCCTATGGGATAGTTGGACTGTATTCTATATGATCGCGGTCAGTCTGAACCAACTCGACAGCACTGGTTTGTGTGTGTTTAAGGGGTTTAGAAGATGGGAGTTAACCAAGAATAGAGTCTCTAAGCTGGCACCAGTTGGTAGCACTGTAGTAGCTGAGGGTGGGTGAAGGCGGTAGAGTTAGGAGTTGGGGTAAGACTAAGTTGTGGGTCCAGCCTGGCCCTAAGGACCTTGAATCCAGGCTGAGTGGCCAGGACCTTGTTCTCGGGACATTGCTGAGCAAAGAGGCCAATTTGTGCGTCTAGATCTTGAAAATTACGGTAAAGTCCCATCTAGGGCTTTGTCTGCCATCGGCTGCCAAGGAATCCAGCCCAGGCCCTCATATGTCCCCTCCTTGTGCCTGGACAGGTACTTCATGAACATCACCTGGGACAACCGGGATTACTCCTTCAATGAGGATGGGTTCCTGGTGAATCCCTCCCTGGTGGTCATCTCCCTCACCAGGGACAGGACCTGGGAGGTGGTGAGTCCCAGCCCAGACCTCAGGCATGGAGAGGGGCTAGAATCCTAGCTCCTGGGGAGGAGGGAGCTGGGGGTCTGAAAGAGGAAAGGAATCCTGGGTCCTAGGGGAGAGAAGGGGTATGAAGGTCCAGGGTCTGAAGAGAAATGGATACTTGGGTCCTGAGGGGAGGAAGAGGCAGGGGTCCAGGGTTTTCAGAGAAATGGACTCCTAGGTCTTGGGTGGGCGGAAGAGGAAGCTGGCATTCGGGCGTCTGAGTCTGAAGGGTGGAAGAGATGCGCCCCTACTCCTAGATCTGGAAAGCAGGACACCTGAGAAAGCCCCTCCAGGTATGCTGAGCCCCTGTCTCCCACCAAGGTGGGCAGCTGGGAGCAGCAGACCCTCCGCCTCAAATACCCGCTGTGGTCCCGCTATGGGCGCTTCCTGCAGCCTGTGGATGACACGCAGCATCTCACCGTGGCCACACTTGAGGAGAGACCTTTTGTCATTGTGGAGCCTGCTGACCCCATCAGCGGCACGTGCATCCGAGACTCCGTCCCCTGCAGGAGCCAGCTCAACCGCACCCACAGGTGGGTGACAGCAGAGACCCCCGAGGTCCAGTCTCAGAACCCTCCTTCCTGAAGCCCAGTTGTCCTGACCTTGTCCTGGCCCCCAGCTGCGTCCCCTCAGAACCTTGGACTCCCAGACCTCACAAGCTTCCCCGCTTAGGTCCCAAGAATCTGGTCGTCCAACTTTGTGACTTTAGGCAAATCATGTGACTTCTTTGGGCCTCAGTTACCCCAGAAAGTGCCTACCCTAATTTTAGTTGGTACCTGCCCCTCTCAGACCCTCACCCTATGGGAGAGTCTAAGTGGGGGGATCACCAACACCAACTGCCCCCCTCCTCCCCTACAGCCCTCCACCAGACGCCCCCCGCCCAGAAAAGCGGTGCTGCAAAGGTTTCTGCATAGATATCCTGAAGAGGCTGGCGCACACCATCGGCTTCAGCTACGACCTCTACCTGGTCACCAATGGCAAACACGGGAAGAAGATCGATGGCGTCTGGAACGGCATGATCGGCGAGGTGAGGCCGAGAGGGACAGGGTGAGGGCGGAGCCAAGAGTGGGTGGGCGGGGCATGGTCAGAGGGGTGGGCCCAGGCAGTGTTTGGGTTGGGGCCGGGCCTGGAGCTTCTTGAAGTAGGAATTTCAAGGTCAAGGGAGACAGGCCCAGGAGGAAAGAGCTCCTGGATGAGAAAGATGGAGCGCTGAGGGTAGAAACAGTCTGAGAGTGCAGAATCTAGAACAGGGGTTGCTGGTTTGTGGGTGGAGCTAGAGGTGGGACTCCTGGCAGAAGGGCGGGGCCTGAAGGAGGAAACCCAAAGCCTGAAAGGCGCGAGACTGAGGCAGCCGGTGGAGTAGGGGCTTCCACTTCCCACTCCTGTTCCTCATTGCTCACCTCCATCCTCCCCAGCCCTACTCTGTGTCCTTCCCCCTGTTATCCACCCCTTCATCCCTCCTAGCCCTTTCTCTCACCCTGTCCTCTGGTCAGCTCCGGGTCCCCGCCGGCTGCCCTCAACTCCCTCCTGGTCCTCACCCCAGGTATTCTACCAGCGCGCAGACATGGCCATTGGCTCCCTTACCATCAACGAGGAGCGGTCTGAGATCGTGGACTTCTCCGTCCCCTTCGTGGAGACAGGCATCAGCGTCATGGTGGCGCGTAGCAACGGAACTGTGTCCCCCTCGGCCTTCCTCGGTGAGCTGGGGCCTTGGGACTGGGCGTCGAAGAAATGGATACACCTTCCAGCATTGCCTATACCCTGGTGTGAACTTTCAGAAGTGGCCTCACTTCTTAGCCTTAGATTCCTAACTGGTACAGTGAAGAACACTTTCTCTAGCCAGGAGCATTTTCACATGAAGGAAGCTTGGGCTTCCAGAATCTCCGCAGATGAGGCCTCTCCTAAGATCTCGTAGTTGGTGTTTTGTTTTGTTTGTTTGTTTTTAACTTTTTATTGTGAACTGGGTGAAGGTTAACAGAGCAGATCAGTTTTCCATTCAACAATTCATAGACATTTTGTTTCATCTCACGGACTGCAATCCCCACAGTGCAACATCACTCATCCCACTTCCTCCCTGGGTTTCCTGTTGCCATTCCTCCTCCTTTCCTGTCCCTTCTGAACTGTGTGTGTGTGTCCTTGGGTAAATGCTGCTCTTTAGATCTAAAATGGTTAATGATTCTAAGGAGGGCATAGTGTGATCATTCCCCTTATAGAACTGCCTATTGTTTGGCTCAAAATTGAACCATGGGGGTGAGTTCATTTCCAGCCCTGCAGGGGGACTAAATGCCATAGTCTGTGTGTATGTGTGTGTGTGTGTGTGTGTTGGGGGGAGAGGGTGACTTCCCATCAGTCTATCTCTGACCAGTAAGCCTGGGCTTTTTTTTATGATTTTTGAGTTTGGTTCCACATTTTTCTCCTACTCTATCCAGGACCTTCTAATGTGATCCCTTTCAAAGCAGTAGGTACTTGTAGCTATTTTTATAGTCCTGATTTTATATTCTGTTTTTAAGAGGGTTGTCCAAATTATATAAGCTTCGGGCCCCACAAAACCCAAGTCTGTAAATCCAGTACATAAGTATGAGCGGAGGAAAGGAGATTAGTTTAGTATTGACACAGTGTAAGCACTCGATCACATCAGCCTATGTTTTATTGAGCACCTACTATGTGCCAGGCTCTGGGCTGCCCATTGGGAGCATAGTGGTCCCCAGAGACAGACACACACTTCCTGCCCACTGGAAGCTCTCAGCCTTGTGTGGGAGACCATCAGCTTAAAGGGACTCCTGAACCAGCTCACTTCAGATGGTGAAGAAAGATCAGGACAAATAGAGTGGGTGGGCAGGAAAGGTCCTTTTGAGGAGGTGACTTCAGTGCTCTGTGGGTCTGCATGGAACAGCATAGGGAACAGCAAGTATAAAGACCCCAAGGTGGGAATGTGCATGGAGCGTTTGTGGAAGAGCAGGTGATTAGAGGGGAGTGTGCAAGGGGAGAGGGTGGAAGGTGAGGGCTGGCAGGGAAAGTGGGGGACAGATAGCACAAGGTCTCATACCCAAGGGTAAGGAGTTTGGGGTTTACTCTTATTACAGTAGCAAAGGTGCTTTTGTGTTTCAAGTGCAAGGCTTGCATAAGCTTTTCATTTCACTTTATTGTGGGAAAAACACATACACAACAAACATGCCATCTCCACAGTTTCTACATGTACAATTCAGTGGCCTTGATGACTACATGCTTCAAGTGGTACCAACATTCTTGCTATCATTTTCCATTAAATTCATTCCACCACCATGAACTTCGACTCCGTGCCCCCTCAGCAAAGCCTCAGTGGCAAAGGCTTGGCCTATAGACAGTAGGATGGTGGTAGATGATTTCTGTCAGGCTTTTGGGTTTTCCCACTGATGTCTCTGTGGAAGCAGAAGGCCTGTGGTCAGGCTACTGCAGAGGTCGGTGGCAGACGGGATGGGACTGTGGACCCAGAATGAGAGAGTTAGAGTGAGACCATTGGGTATCTCCAGGTCTGGTTAGGAAAGTGACATACCAGGTGAACTGGTGGCTTGATGTAAATCTGAGGGAAACTGAGCTAAGGCAAGACTAACCCCTTCCCTAAACCTGAGCCTTTGGATACCAATGTTATGAATTGCTGTTGAGAGTAGAATTATGCTTCATTGCATTTTCATGGCTGTCACTTTCTGGAAGTCAATTTCCAGACATTTCTTCCAAGACACTGCTGGGTGGATTCAAACCACCAAACTTTTGGTTAGTGGCTAGCCTAGAGCTTAACAGTCGGTGCCACCCAGGGACAAGGCTTTGGTTAGCGGTTGCATTTACTGAACTGCAGAGGACAGGGGATGAAGCTCACATGGGTCAGCTCCCATCTGTCTCAGCAAGCTCCTGAGAGAAAGGAGGGGTTGAGTAAAGGGATGTCTCTTCCTTTTGGTCCTTTGCTTTATTATTTATTTTCATGTCTCCTCTCTGGTGGCCTCCTCTGCTGTAAACTCCAAGCTCTCTGCACGAGGTCCCTACCCTCAGGGGCGGACCAGGTCTAATTTATTTCTCATCAATGTGCTCAGTGGAGGCAAGACGGTCTAGTGATGCTCCAGGGTGGTCTCCCCACAGTGACCAGAGCAGCTTGCACAGGACCTGGAAGTCATATCACCTGGTCCTTGTTGCCTGGAATGGATGCTTTGAGCTTAGTTGTCAGATAACAGGAGACACCGGGTCTTGGGGCCTGAGGAAGGCTATGAGTAGAATAGAGCTTGGTGTGGCCGACAGGTCAGCCTGGCGCTTCTGGGCGGGGACTTTAGAGGCAAAGGCAGAGAAAGCATTTCTCATTTCGCAAACTGAAGAGTTGCTTTTTGCTTTTATGGGGGCTTTCATATTTTATGTTATGTTTTGATTGTTGCTATACAACCAGTTTCTTGAAACTTTTTTTTTTTTTTTAAGGTTTTTATTGTGGATTGAGTGAAAGTTTACAGGGCACATCATCAGTTTCACATTCAACCCCATTCATATGATTTGTTTCATTACATTGATTATAATCCCCTCCATACATCATCAGTCAACAGTGTTTCTCTCTATCCTCTTTAGCTTTTTTTGGGGGGGGGAGGAGTTTCTTGAAACTTTTGATTGTGAACTGAGTAAAGGTTTACAGACAGCAGATCCTTAGTTTTGCCTCCAACCAGTCCTACACTTGGTTGCATCTCGATTACAGTAGTTCCCATGACATCATGGAGCCCACTTGCTCCCTGTGTTTCTTGTTTCCAATCCTCCTCCGTGCTCCACCCTTCTGGATTTTGTCCTTAGGCAAATGCTGCCCTTTTAATCCTGAGTGGCTGACTATTGTATAGTGTGCATGGGTCGCTATGGGTAGGAATCTACTCAATGGCATTAACAACAACAACATACCTCACTAGTGTTGACGCCCCTACATATTTAACTAGTGCTGAGCTGAAAATTGAGCCACCGGGGTGAGTTCAGTTTCAGCCTGAAGGGTGACTACAGGCCATATAGTCTCAGGTTCTTTTAGACTCTATCCAACCAATAGGAACTGAGAGTTCTTGAACGAGTGGGCAGGCTGCAAAGGAGGGCAGGAGCAAGACTGATGGACTAAGTCATGGTCTTGAGGGCATTAGGGAACCAAAGGGAGGGTTGGGAGGGAGGGAGCAGCCTGATCAGTTCTGGTATAGAAAGACCCTCATGGACATATGGGGCCTGGACTGGAGGCAGAGGAGGAGGTCAGCGTTGGGCTGGCCTAAGAATGGAGAGAAATCCAGGTAGGACTAGTGGAGAGGAGGAAATGGCTGGGGACTGACCAATTCATGTCTAGAGAGGACAGCACTTGGGGGAGTGGCCTGTGACTGAGTAGCTGCTGGGGCCCCCAAGATGAGGAACCCAAAAGGGGGCACCGTGCTCAGTGTGGGATGTAATGAAAGACCTGGAAGTGTCCAGAGGGAAAAGTGGGGTGCAGGAAACCCATTTAGATGACACTTTGTTTATGGAAGGAGTCCTGGTGGTTCAGTGGTGAAGCACTCTTCTGCTCGCAGAAATGTCTGCTGCTCCAACCTTCCAGCCGCTCAGCGAGGCATCTGCTTCAGTGAAGATGACCTCCCCACTGCCTTCCAGACAATTCTGACTCACAGTAACCCTAAAAGACAGATTAGAACTATCTCATAGTGCTCTGGGAGCGTAGTGGTTACGAATCAGGCTGCCAACCTTAAGGTCAACAGTTTGAAACTACCAGCCGCTCCGCGGGAGAAAGATGAGACTTTCTGCTCCCGTAAAGATTTACAGCCTTGGAAACCCTGTACAGGGTTGCTATGGGTTGGAACTGACTCCATGGCACTTAACAACAACAATGGCCTTCCCAAGGCTGTTATCGTTTTGGAAACAGACAGCCATTTTTCTCCTGTGAAATGGCTGGTGGGTTCAAACTGCTGACTTTTCAATTCGTAGTCCAATGCTTAACCCACTGAGCCACCTTGGAAACCCTATGCTGCAGCTCTACTCTGTCCTAGGCATCAATTTGACAACGCAAATTGACAGACTAGGACAGGACAGACAGGGGCTGTATCCACACAGGTCTGGGGGTGAGTCTGCGGCACTTCCCCATAGCTTGGCAGAGCTATGACCTCATCCTTTTGCTCTCAGAGCCCTATAGCCCCGCTGTGTGGGTGATGATGTTCGTCATGTGCCTCACCGTGGTCGCCGTTACCGTTTTCATCTTTGAGTACCTCAGTCCCGTGGGCTACAACCGCAGCCTGGCTACTGGCAAACGTGAGTTCCCTTCTATCATCCGCCTAGCTCAGAGTCCACCCACCCCTTGTGAGAACGGACTACATTTCCCAGTAGGCCCTGAGGCGGAGCTAGGGCCTCTTGGGGGGTGTGGAGAGGTAGAGACCCCAGAGACCACTGGGAATTGTAGTTCTTTCGACTCCCTTATTGAACAGCGGTGATTTGGGGCCCATGCCCCGCTCCTGACCCCCTGCAGGCCCTGGCGGCTCAACGTTCACCATTGGAAAATCCATCTGGCTGCTCTGGGCCCTGGTGTTCAATAACTCTGTGCCCGTGGAGAATCCTCGGGGGACCACCAGCAAAATCATGGTACTTGTATGGGCCTTCTTCGCCGTTATCTTCCTCGCCAGCTACACAGCCAACCTGGCAGCCTTCATGATCCAGGAGGAGTATGTGGACACCGTGTCTGGGCTCAGTGACCGCAAGGTGTGTGTGTTTAGGGGTGGGGATAGGGAAATGGTGTCAGAGGAAGTCGTGGGGGTCTTTTCCTAAGTAAAGTTCCAGATAGGTAACATGGAATGTTCCAGAAGAAGAGAGGGTGTGTTTCAAAATGAATTATTTAAATATTGTTAGTATAGAAAGGGAGAGTTTCGTAACGTTCCAGAGACAGTGATGCCAAATAGGATACATGCTTACCTCGGACATATTACGGGTTCAGTTCCAGACCATCACAGTAAAGCCATCCGAGTGCATTTTTTGGTTTCCCAGTTGTTGACACTACACTGTTGTTTATGACATGTGCAACAGCATTATGGAAAAGTGAGAATTACCAAAATGTGACACAAGAGACATGAAGCAAGCACATGAAGTTAGAAAATCAGTATGACAGACTTGCTCAATTCAGGGTTGCCACAGACATTCAATTTATTTAAAACAAAAAGCAATATATGTGAAGCACAAATGAGCCTAGCAATAAAATGAAGTCTGTCTGTATTGGCATAATGCTTTTTATGTAACTCTCAAATGTCTATGAATCTGGTACGCCTATTTTCAGATGCAGAAACAGAGGATCTTAGGTAAGACTTGGTACGCTGGAATTCTAAGTCCATACTCTTCTCAAACTGTGACGAAGGGCATGTTTTTGAGATTTGTGATCCATCCACTGGAGACCAATGCGTTTGTATAATCCAATAGAAACAAATCTCTAAAAGAAAAACGTAAAGGCAAGACTTAACAAAAGTCAACCCCAAATGATTTGATTTCTTAGACGCCAGGGGTATAAAACCATTCCATGAAATTGCTCTCTTGCTCATGCTCGATTTCTGTACTGACCTCCTTGTGAGTCACAGTTTGTGCAAGAATAGTAGTGGGCTACAGACCACACTTTGGAGACGGTTAAGACCGATGAGCAGATTGAGAAATCGATTAACTAGAGTACAATTAGCATTTCTTTTTTAACGGAGTGGGAGAGAGTAGAATATAAAATATGTTGACTGAGTCTTACATAATAAGAATGAATGTTGTCTTATGAAACGTTTGTTTTAGTCATTTACATGCGTGGCATTGAGCCAGCACATGCTAGTATAGCTGTGTCTGTTGGTGAAGGGGTGAGTTCATTCCAAACTGATTGGTACATAGCAATTGGTGCCAGCCTCTGCCATGCCAGCCCCTGGTCCCATGATCCAACCAGTTAAGGGTTCATGCCTGGCACGCTGGAGGCCTCCAGGACCCTTCTGCAGTTCAGCCGTGTAGTCAGTGTTCTTTCTGATGGGGAGATAATCAGGCTATGTTGGTTGTCAAATATACCTGTATATACCAGGGCCTTCCAAAAGTTTGTGGAACATTCCATTTTTCCACAACTTTCAGAAGCCTTCTCATATGTGTGTGTGTGTGTGTGTGTATGTATGTATATATATAATACATATGTGTGGTATGCAGGTGTATATAATCTACTTGCTGGCACATACAGTTAAGGGCTCGGCCACTAATGGAAAGGTTTGAATTCACCCAGAAGTACTTCAGCAGAAAGGCCTGACATTTTACTTCTGAAAGATCATGTTGGGTTGTTAGCCTCTGACTCCTGGCGACCACATGTGTGTTACAGAGCAGAACTGCTCCAGAGGTTTTTCTTGACTGAAATCTTTATAGAAGGAGATTGTCAGGCTTGTCTTCCATGGAAACACTGGGTGGGTATGAAATACCAACTTGTCAGTTAGCAAACCACTTGAGACACCAGATCATTGGTGTTGGTGGTATTGAGTTGGTCCCAACTCAAATCAACTCTGTATAGGGATTCCAAGGCACAACCATGGCCGTTGAAAACCCTCTGGAGCACAGTTCTACTCTGAAACAAGTTGGATCATTGTGAATTGGAGTTAACTTGCTAGCAATTGATTGACTCGTGTATCTTTCGGTTAAGCCTGTCTCAGTGGTATAGGGAAAATCTACCAGTATGGATGCCAAGTGAGACATTGAAAAGTATTTCCTACTATATGGGTCAACTTCTGGTGTGGCTCTGTGAATCTGTACTGGACTGCAAAACACAAGGTCAGCAGTTCAAACCCACCAGTTGCTCTTTGGAAACCCTATAAAGGGTCACTGTGAATCAGAACTGATTCGATGGCACTTAATAACAACTATATAGGTCAGCATCCATTAAGTTTGAAAAAACAAGCAACCGTTTCTGAACTGGGGTACTCACCAATTAATTGGTGGTAGTCCCCTAGGACAGGGCATGTGGGTCAAAATGTCCCCTTGGGGGCGCCCTGATGACTCCCCATTCTGTCCCAGTTCCAGCGGCCCCAGGAGCAATACCCGCCTCTGAAGTTTGGGACAGTGCCCAATGGGTCCACGGAGAAGAACATCCGCAGCAACTATCCGGACATGCACAGTTACATGGTGCGATACAACCAGCCTCGTGTGGAGGAGGCCCTGACCCAGCTCAAGGCAGGGTGGGTGCAGACACAGTGCGGGTGGGGACTCAGGGACAGGGTGGGTCAGGCTCAGCCCTGAGTCTCAGGGGACAGTCCAGGGTAGGTGGGCTCAGAGGTCACAGAGAGTGCAAGTGGAATCCCACCCCTCCCAGGAGAGGGGCATCCCTGTGATATTTTTGAAAATCCACCAGTTATACCTAGGATGTTCTGGGTCCAGACTGTCAGGGTTCAACTCCCCTGCTTGGCTGTGTGACCTTGAACAAGTGACACAACCTCTCTGAGCCATCTCAGTTTCCTCCTGTGTCAGGTGTGGGTGACCGAGGATGAGATGGGTCAATCCACGCAACACATAGAATGGTGTCTGGCACACGGCATGTGTTTATTTATTACTGCTGTTATTAGCTTCATCAATACATCTGAGCTCACTATAATCTGTACCGGGATTTATGCCTTTTTTGACATCGGTTCCCCAAATCACAGGGATAAAGTTAAGATCTGTCCCTAAAATGCAGCTCAAGATGATCACAAAGCTGAAAAAAAAATTATTAACACAGCGCTAAACATCATAACACCCTGTACCTCATTTACTTAGACATTCACTCTGTGTTGATTTCCTTAGCCCTTATTCTATGCAACCGCAAGGTCAGCAGTTCGGACTCACCAGTTGCTCCTCAGAAACCCTATACAGGGTTGCTATGAGTTGGAACCCACTCAATGGCACTTAACAACAGCAACAATGCTCGATGCAAGGAGACATGATGGTACAGAAGCTGCTACCCACAAGGTTGGCAGTTCAAACACACCAACCGCTCCCAGGAAGATAGCTAGCTGCATAAAGATTAGAGTCTGCTTTATAAAGATTAGAGTCTCGGAAACGTCATGGGGAAATTCTACTCTGTCCTATAGGGTAGCTAGCTACAAGGCAGAATCGACCTGATGGCAGTGGGTTTGGCTTTTAATTCTTGGTTCAACTCTGTGGCAAGCAGTGAGCAGACAGACAAGAATCCCTGCCTTCAGGTAGCTTAGAGTCTGTTGTTTGGTTCCATAGAGTCCGTTCTAGCTGGTACTGACTTTACATACAGCAGAACAAATCACTGCCCAATCCTGCACCTTCCTGAGCCCATCATTGCCTACACTCTGTCAGTCTGTCGCAGTGGGCATCTTCCTCCTTTCCCCTGACCCTCTGCTCTACCAAGCTGCATGTCCTTCTCCAGGGACTGGTCCCTCCTGATAATCTGTCCAAAGGCTCACCGTCCTTGCTTCGAAGAATACTTTCTGGCTGTACGTCTTCCCAGACAACTTAGGTTGTGCTTCTGGCAGTCCATATGCTACATTCCCTATTCTTCCCAACACAGTAATTCAAATGTTTCAGTGCAACAAACATGTAGACAGAAGAAAGAGCAAGATCATTTCAGAGTGGGACAAGGGGTCAGAGGTTGACTGGGCAGGGCTGGTGAGGGTAGGCTTCTCAGAGGAGGTGACATTTGAGCAAGTGATGCTGTCAAACTAAGTGGATTTCTGGAGACGCAGCCTTCCAGGCAGAGGGATCAACATCTGCCTGGAAGGTATGCAAAGGGCCTGAGGCAGGAGGAATCTTGGCTTATTGAAGATCAGCAGCAAGGCCAGTGTGGCTGAAGGGTGGAGATTCAGAGAAGTGGGTAAGGGGGTGGGAGGGAATGGGTGGTTTGACTCCAAGGTCACGGTCAGGACTGGGTTTTGTTTCAAGCTCAGTGAGAAGCCAATGGAGCAAGGAGGGGCTGGTTTTAAGCAGGAGGAGAGGACTGATCATTTCTTTTCTTCAATGTCCGTCCGTCTGTAGTGTGGATGGATAGAAGGGAAGGAACCTGTGTGTGTTGGACCAGTGAGGATATCACCCCATATCCAGTTCGGTTTCCCCTTTCCTCTACGCACCCCTCAAGTTGTTGTTTGTTAAGAGCCTTCTA